GGAAGAGTTAAATATAATTCACCTTTCTATCTTGGTTTACTGAGTGGATGGTGATGCTGTTAACTGATGAGATAACCATTTACCCAGAAGCAGCAGAAGACTTGGGGTAAACTTGATTGTGATCCTTGCAAGAAAATCACTTGGAGATATTGACCAAGCAGTCACAAATACATTTTTGAATCAAAGAAGAGAGGCTAGAGCTAGACATGGAAATATGGAAATACAGTAGCACCCCCTTATCCTTGGGGGATATGTTTCAAGACCTCTGGTGGATGCCTGAAACCAGAGACAGTAGTGAACTCTATACATACTATGTTTTCTTCCCTATACATACATGTCCGTGATAAAGTTTAATTTATAAATTGGGCACAATAAGAGATTAACAATAATAATGAATAATGAAATAGAACAATTATAACAGCATACTGTAATAAAAGTTATGTGAATGTTCGCTTTCTCTCTCTTTCTCAAAATATCTTAATATTTCCAGGCCATGGTTGGCCATGGGTAACTGAAACCCTAGAAAGCAAAACTGCATATAAGGAGGAGCTACTGTACTTGGCCTCAAGATGACAATGGAGGCTGTGGGGTTTCCCAGGGAGAAGAGCCTGAGGATGAAACTCTGGGAAACCTTCACTGTGTGAAAAGATGGATGCAAAGCCCAGGTCTGCTCATTTCTAGAACAGAAGCTTTGTATTAGCCTAGGGCTGCTGTAATGGAGTACCACAAATGAGGTGGCTTAAACTACAGACACTGTGTCACAGTTCTGGAGGATAGAAGCCTGAGATCAAGGTGTTAGCAGAGTTGGTTCCTCCTGAGGGCTGTAAGGGAGAATCTGTTCCATGTCTCTCTCCTGGCTTCTGGTGATTTGCTGGTGATCTTTGGTGTTCTTTGGCTTTAGCTAAGTCACTCTGATCTCCGACTTAATCTCCTTGTGGTGCCCTCCCTGGATGCATGTCTGTGTCTGTGTTCACATTTCCCCTATTTATAAGGACACCAGTCAGATTGGATTAAGGCCCACTCTAATGACCTCAGTTATCCTGATCATCTGCAGACTCTATTATCAAATAAGGTCACATTCACAGGTACTGGGGTTAGGACTTCAACATATGAATTTTGGGGTAACAAATTCTATCCATAAAAGGCTTCTTCTACCCCTCCTTCTAACATGATTTGGAGTAGGGAGAAAGAAGCCAGACTGCAATAGGCCAATAATTAATAAGAGATTTTTAAAAAGCCAAGGCTGGGAATGTAAACTATTTATTTGGAACTACATCCATTACAAGTCAAATGATGAGGGCAAGGGCTCTGTGGCTTATACAATTTCCAGAACAAACTACTTTACAGTTTGCCAAAGAATCATTCAAAGTCTATGGTATATTAAGAGTGCTTGCTTGCTGCAAGATTCTTTCTTCAAACTAAAACACATGGGCTTGCTTGTTTGGCAAAGAATGCATATATCCCTAGAAGATGAGCTAGTAATCATTTGCTTTGCATTTAGTGTAATGTGCTCTTTTCTGATGAAACTTGGAAGTTTGAGTTTGAAAAATGATGTGTCTAAGAGAGTATGGACTGAGCAATTTTAGATATGGCAGAGCAATAAAAAACATTCTTGCCATAGATTCATTGGTGGTGCAAGGACACAGATTAACCTTGGGAGGTATATTATAGCATTTATTTTTTCAAAAGAAAGGAAAGACTTGGTATTTAAATTCTTGCTTTCATTTGAGGAAGGAAAAATATAAATCTTGGGATATCTGAAAAATATTAAAATGTTCACGGAATTAACCGTCAGTGATAATATCAAATGTCACATTTCTACTCCATCTCATACTGGGAAAAACTGATGTAACCAAATGGTGATATATCAGGCTTTTTCCCTAGGCATTATGGTGTGTTAATTTTCTACCAAAAATGTTGGGTATTAATATGGATATTCAATTTTGTTTTGGGTCTTAGATGAGGTGGTTTTGTGATTTGCAGTTGGATTTAACATAAAAACAAAGGAATTGAAGTATTTTTGTAACAGAATTTTAATAGTATCTGTCTTTCAATGACATTTCTTTATCCTCTTTTTTTTTTGTTTTAAAAATGATACATGTTGAGAGAGAAGCTAATTGAATACATTTTTCCTAAACATTATACATTAAAATCAGTGATGCTTCTACAGCAATCATGTTCTGAAAGAGTACTTTTATATCTTGTGGGTTTTTGTTCTTTTACACAGTTCATATGAGTGGAATATACTGTTCTTGGGAAAAAATAATGATAACATAGACAGATATTGAAGTTATCTCTACTCTGATGGAAGTTCAGTGTATGTTGCTGATTATGTATGATACATTTTCCATAAACAGGCACAGAGTGACCCCAGTGGAAACTGAGCTTGCAGGGTAATATTGCTCAGTATTGTTTCCCTATGATGCATGCCTATCATTCTATTCTCCAGTTGGTCTTGGAGACTTCACTGTTGCTTCTGAACCTGGTACTAGGAACCGAGCCCTTTCTTTATGGTTTGCCTTGTTTTGACAAGTGTAACAGCATCTCTCCTTATTTCACCCACATTTCTACATTATTCTGATGGCAAAGGATTAAAACTTCTTTTATGAGAAAACACTAAAAATGTTAACTCAGAAGAAGGTCTGTGAAAAGAACACTGAACTCGGGATCAGAAAACTTGAATCATTTAGGTGCTATTTAGCCTTGTTAGTCTACTTATGCGCTGCATTCTTGGACAAGATATTTGACTCCTTAGTAATTCATTAATTCAGTAAGCCATTAACTCATTCATCTATTCATCTACTCCTTTTCACCAAGCATTTATTGAATGTTCCCTGTGTTTTAAGCACTGTGTTAAACACAGGATGGTAAGATAAAAATCAGACATTCCTTTAAAGGCATTCACAGATAAATTAGGAAGAGTTAAAAAATTATGATAGGAATGATATGTTACAGTAGAGATAATCATTAGTAGAATAATGTGATTTCTATTGCTCTTTTTACTTTTATAAGTTTACGGTTCTAATTCTATAAAAGTTCTAAAAGTTATTCACATACCTTTTGACTGTGGGAAAAAACAAACCTAGAGATACAAAGATAAAAAAGTAAACCTGTTCCTGTACTTAACGGGCCACTGGTTTAGAAGGAAAATGGATGGGTAACTGAATGCGTGTGTGTGCTTGTGTGTGTGTATACCTTATTTGTGTCTTTGGAGTCCTTGGCCTACAGCATTGCTCTATTACTACAGGCATCCTAGCTTGCTGGGCAGTAATTCATTCAAAGTAAGGAATTTGAAGTGAGTGGCAGCATAAGTGGTGCTAGATGGAGTAAGGAAAGAGACACAAAACTTTGTAATTCTCATTTCCATATGTGGGTCAAAATGGCAAGGGAAGTCAGAGAGGCCAGAAAAAAATAAGACTCCAGAAAAGTACTTGGTATTCCTTCCTGAACCCAAAGAAAATTTATAAAGAGTGTAGGCAGTCCATGATTTACAGAAATATATGGCCAAAAATGAGTCATAATAATGAACGTTTCTTGTTTTCTAAATGGCTATAGATTCCATTTAGGCCCTAGTAGAGTAATTGCCTTATAAGACTAAAAATTCTCTTTAGACAGTCTTGATGGTTAATACATACTACTCCAGAAGTCTACTTCGAATACTTTTCAACCACGGTTTTAACAAAAAGGAACTAATAATATTTCCACAGGTAGACTTTATAAAAATGTAATAGAGATCATATGATTGACGTACTTTCTCTGTTTAATCACACAAATATAATCCAACTCAGGAATTTCAGAGTTAATACAGTGAATTAGTTTCAAAGTATTAGAAGGGCTGGGGCACTGATTGAGTAAGGTTACCTAGAAAGTAGTACCTATATTAAGCCACTACTACCCATAGGCCTAGAAATCCAAAGGAGAAAATAGTGTTACCTAGAGTCCATATGCAGGTGAGATAGCTGAAGTTGAAATTGGGTTACCTGAGTAGAACTTGGAGCCACATATACCTATCGTTGTTATGGCTGCTGAAACTGCCTTTAGAAGCTGGGAAGAAAATGACCTCCTTCTTTCTTCACTTTTCTTCCAGTGCCTGCCTTCCACTGGCAAAAATCTAACAGAAAGTCAAGGAAACTTGGGAAAAATAGCTTTGCTGGCTCCCTGTCCGTGAGGTACAAAAAAGGCAGAGAAGAACAGAGGAGGAGCCGGGAGACAACACCCCCTCCAGAACACATGTCATTGTCTCTTCTGTCTTTAATAATCTGTTAATTTTCCTGAAACTCCTTCAACACTATGATGCAGTGAAGGGAAGAGTGAGTTAAACTAAGGGAAGGAGGAAGATGTTACATAGCGACAGCTCCTGAGAGAAGAGAAGGGAAATTAGGCAGAAAGGTCTGAGAAGAGGGAAAACAGAAAAGGCATATGAATGGCAAGGAGTCAGATAAGAGTTCTGTCAAATGTATGCTTAATTGGGCTCAAACCCTTTGGGTTGGAGTAAAGTGAAGGCTAACAGAAAAATCTAATTAAAATTGTGGGGTTCATAGATAAGGGGAGGGGTTAAGTTAAGCTTGATAGTTGCTTCAGGTTCTATCCTGAGAACTTTTCAAATTCCTTGAAGAAATCCCATGTTTATCATGGTACAACACTAATATGGCAGCACACGATTGGTCAATTAGAAATGCTGAAGGAAGCATTAGACAAGTGCATTAAACAATGCCCCTGGTTGCCCATGGCCCATGAGATTATCTAGGGATTCCATAATTTCTAGAGTGTCCTGTTATTAAGAGAATCAGTGCAATGCAAGAAGCCTGGGGTTGGAACAACGATGCTGCAGAGTACAGGGACTGTGATATAGGAGGTTACAGCAGGATCTAAGGACTTTGGGAATAGTTACTACCGTGACCTCTCTCCCTCCTCTCCACACCCCCAAAGCACTGAGCAGTAAAAAGCACAAAATATTGCACACTAGAACAGGGTGTTCAATAACCTGATACAGAGGGGAACAGACCAGCAGAGGCCAGCAAAGACCCAGACGCTAGTATGTAAGTCACCATGAGAACATGGGATTATCCTTTTATACCCAGAGAGGACCTTGGGAAAAAGAGAAGGAGGTAAGATCATTTGCGAGGGAGAGAATCAGCTTTAGTACAGAGTTTTAAGCACAATTTTTTTTAAAAGCAATTTAAAATTCAAACTGGAAGATTACAACATGGATATACGCAAAGCAAGATAAGGTGAGTTACATGGCAGTGGGGGGAATTCACACTGTAGAAGCCTATTCTTTGTCATGTCATGCTTCTGATATTATGAAAGACGTACTACTTATAATTGGTTATAATGAAAGTCAACATTTTTCCAACTGAACCCCTTTTAGAATAGAAAGTTTAAGATTTCAGGCTGGGTGCAGCAGTGCCAGCCTGTAGTCCCAGCTACTCAGGAGGCTGAAGTGGGAGGATCATTTGAGGCCAGGAGTTCAAGGCTGTAGTCTGTGATGATTGTGCCTGTGAATAGCCACTGCACTCTAGCCTGGGCAACATAGCAAGACCCAGTCTTTAAAAATTAACAAATAAAAGATTTCAAATGGTCTGTGATATATAAAGTAGAATAGTTCCAGAAAATTAGTTACTTTCAAATTATTGATATTTATTATTTCCTGTGATATAACATAGTTAAAGCTAATTTTCAGGAGGAAAGTTTCATTTTGTAATTATTCATTATTTATACTCTGATGGGGATGGGATTTGGTATTCTTAAGACTCTACAGAAAACATGACCTTTTGTTCTGAGAAGCTCATAATTGAAAGTGATTCATTTATTTGCAAAGATAGGGTTATTGTAGGAACAAAAGGATAGTCTTTATTAAAGTTTATAAGCCAAAGGATATGAGATTATTTCCATTCGTCCCCATCTTTCCATAATGCTTTTGTAATGGGAACAAATATTAAAATGATCCATTCTTGTCTAAAAAGGTTATATTCAGATTTGGACAACTTAATAAATAATAGAGAACTCCTAGGTAACCCACCAACCATGGGATCTTGACCCCAAAGGTGTCAAACCACTTTGAAGTAATCCAAAAGCGCATCAATTGTATTTTTGTATATTTTATTTATGTTTGTGTGAACTACCATATTAAATTGCATTAAATAACTACTTAAATAAGTAAAACAGTAATTTAGAAATAAAACCATTTTATGTTTGGGCTTAGACTCCTCTAAGCAATCTATACAGACTAATTATTTGTGCCCGTACATGCATGGTGATCTCAAAATGAATTCATTTATCGTTTTATGCATTAACTTCTCAGGCTGCTTGGGTATCATTCTCTGCTGGCTATTATATTATCAGGTCACCATCGTGCTAAACTGTAGGACATGTTAGCTGATAATTCCTGAAAAGTGCTTACTTTTGAAATAAAAAGCAAAGCAAAAAAAAAAAAAATCAAGCCACAATGCTGACTGAAAAAAATATTTATATTTATATTAAAGCCCTTAGCTAGATTCTCAGACACATCACTGCTTAAAATGCAGTCACCTGACAAAAACAGTTCTAATTATTACCCCCTTGGGCGAACATTTTTCAGAGTGACTGGCTAAAATGCACTCCAGCTCATAATTTCTGTCTCTGACAGTGGAAGACATAACCTAGTTTCCTCTAATGCAAAAGTCTCTAATCTAGAGGGCAAGACCCTGCTCAGTATAACACTGAAGGGAGAAAATGCAATTTGAGCACAAGGAAATTGCACACATAGTTGGATAGTTCTACCACTCTCGGTTTTTTTTTTTCCTCCTTGGGTTTAAATGTCTTGTTTTATTTTATACTAAATTATGACCTGGCTGAAATTGCTATGTTTTCTTTGTCATATTCTAGAAACCTCTTACTATAAAAGTGAAGGTTATGCGATAGTTCCATACTTTCATTTTTTAAGGGGGTGGGAGTGCTCACATTTTGACAGTTCAGCAGTGAAAATATTAAAAGTTACTGTGCTTGCTACAGCAATATTTTTTTCCTTTGAATAATAGCTCTTTTGTCTTGGCAAATGGGGCATATATACTGCATTAGGAAAAGGTAATTAAATCTTTTTGAAATGACAGAAGTGCAGAGTTTTTGATTTGGACTAATCAGTAACAATTTCATTGTTGAATCTCTGAACGAACAAACTTTTATTATTGTTGGGAGAGGTGAATTAACCTCAAATTGTTCTGGTTCACTTCACAGGCGGTGGCTGAGTAATACATCACCCTGAAACAACTGATAAGCCAGAAGACGAAAGAAGTTTCAGGGAAGTCAGTCAGAAGTCTTGGAAGGAATGCAGCTATGGGAGGGCATTACTGGGAATTTTCATGAACAATTTTATTTCTGTGAATTGGAGAGTCATTGCCCCTTTCCCATCTCTTTCTGCTGACAGCTGCTGCTTACCTCTTTCCTTCCAGCTGGGAGGGCAGCCGCATGGCTGCGTATGCCGCTGACGCCAGGATGGCTCCTTAGCGAGCAACCAGGGCATCAGTTTCCTCCTGGAGACTGCACATGTCACCTTCACGTCTCATGCATCTTCCATCATTTATGTGAATATATCAAGAGGCTCTGGTAGAAGGCACTAGGCTATGAAAGTGCAGTCTAACCGATGACTGAGAACAAAAGCCGCCTTCAGCTAGGAATGATTCGCTACTGTGGTAAAAAATACTTTCTTTTTTCCTCCAAAATGACTTTGAATTCTAAAGATTTAATAAATAGCCTTCCTTATTTAGGAAATAAAAGTGAAAGGATAGCATAGAGAAAGGATTATTTAAAGAAACTGATTTTCATAAACATTTATAAAATAATGGTATACAAAGGCATGACAATATTATAGTATGAACTTGTAATTTCAGGAGGAAGATTTGTCTCCAACAATTCTCAAGCGTGCCATCATAACGTATTGCTCCTGAATTCCTCAGCTTCCATCAGACAATAACATGGTCTGATCAATCTTATCCCAAATGCTGGGTGCCGGTTTGAACAAAATTAGGGTGAATTATTTAAAAGGTGCTGTGACAATAATCTAACAGGTACTTTAAAATACCCTGTGTGGCTCATTAACCTGCTTATTCCAGTGAGTTAATAAAGAAATTTTATCGCGCATCTCTAGAAAACAGAAACATCTATCTGATTTTTTCAATTATTAAATTATAAATATCAAACTTTTTTCTAAAAGATATTTGTTTTCCTAACAGTCTATATTGTTTATGTCCTTGGCAAGCAAATAAGAATAAGAAACAGGATTGGGAAATAATTTGTGCTGAACTAACCCGAAATGGTAGTGAAACATCCCTACCTCTCCCTTGCTCTGGCCTATCTAGGAAATTGGCCTGGTATCTACCAAGGTAGCACTGAAAATGTAGAGAAATAACCCAGAAGCCCAGAATGGTTATCATTGGTGCCAATTCACTGAAGCTCTGTTGGACAAAATTTTAAGGAAATTCAATTGTCAGACTATGGACACATTTAGCAGTTCCTTCTAGATACTCAGAGTATTCTAAGAATACTGTTAAAAAAGAATACCTAATATATTTAATACAGTATTTTAAAATTGTCACTAAAGAATACGTTCTTTGAATGCAAGAAAATAAATCACAGTGAAGAATAATTATATACTGAATACGATGCTCTGAAACTATTTGAATATTAAGATTATCATTATTAATATTACTTAGAGCCCATAGGAATTTGTAGCAATCTATTCTTTGTTCTATTTTAACCTCACAATGTTTTCCCTAGAAGAATTTTAGAAATAATATAGCAACAGGCTTGCTTTTAAGTGGTTTAGTCAGACTTGTCTTTCATAAACTTAATAGTTTCTAAATATTTCCAGGTTTGACTGTCTGATATTGTCAGCATAATTATGAATACTTTTAGAAGTACTGTGTCAACAAGGTCTTGGATATTTTTTAACATGACTCTGTTAACTGCTTTAAAACACATACAATTCTAAAAAGAATTTTAAAATTAACTAAAATTAATGGCCAATCCTTCTAGTACTAGTTTTATACCTACCATTTATTGAGGGCTTACTATATGCCAGGCACTTTTTTCAGTGCTATACATGTATTATTTCATTTAATCTTCAACATAATCCAATGAGAAAGTTAGCATTATTAATTCATTTCTCTAGATGAGGAAACAGAGCTGGAGACAGGATATGTAACTTGCGCAAAGGCATATAACTGGTAAGTAGAAATAAGCGTAAAAACCTAAGTAGCCTGGTACTGTGTTCTTTGCACTTACATTTTGTTTACTTCTCCTTGTTAATATTGACTTAAAAGTATGTTAATATATGAGATTTTTTGAAAAAAATGTAGGAGTAAAACTCAGTGACAGGAAAAATAAAAATGGCTTTGTAATCCAGTGATCATGGTTTAAATTTGAAGCTTAAATTTGAAGCTTGGTAACAGTGTGGGAATATATTGCACCTTCTTAAACAGAATATGCCATTTTCACGTGGGAATGCTAAGTAAGAGACACAGAAGTAACTGACTCAATAATTCCGTAGACAATGGGAATGTTATATTTTTCTCTTGCATATTAATGAGATTTCTATGTTAGAACAAAATAACATAATACATTTAATTAAAATCCTGACATACTGATACCAAAGCTAATGTTATACACTGAAATTAGTTTTTAAAAGAGATTTCTTTTTGAGAAATGAAAACCGGCTTTTTTGGAAAAATACTTACTGGAGTTTCCTTTTTGATTAAACTAATAAATAAATTCCATGATGAAAATTACTTTGGTAAAACTGACCTAAGATGTAATTTGAAGAATTAAAAACTGTATGAATTATGAGTTTTCCAATAAGAATTTTATTCTGACCTAAATGATATCCAATAGATCAAGTTAAACCTTGGTGCGTTTTTCAACAAAACAGAAGCACCTTGGCCTCTCAGCTGGTGTCAGACAAGAAATACTTTGTGCGGAGCCTTTATTTAACAGAGTTAGGCTACCGCAGTTGCCTGAGGTCTCCTTGGTCTACTCCTGATTCTCTATTACTGGCAAAGATAAAAGCACAAAAAGTGGAAGTTTCTTCTGAACAGACTATTTTCATTTGTAGACTTCATAAATGTTAGGAAGTAAGAGTAGAGGCAACTCATATCCCGGATTCGTTTTTAGTAATAACATGCAGCAACTAAAACGCTGCTAAAATTTTTGTCAAAAATGAGAAAACATGTATTGTTTCTCACATTTGTCCTTTGGGGAAAAACAATTGTTATTTTGTTATTAGAACCTGTAAAGTAAAATCTCAGTGAAGTCCATGTATACAAATCAGTGCAAAACAACAAAAATTTTACATAAATGTCCTATCAACGGGAACAAATTTCTCACAATTCCACATTCACTTTCTTCAATGAATTTCCTATCAGATCTAAATGGTCATGCTTGGGAGAATTTATTTTACACATGTATGCACACATACATATAACAGAGAGTGGTTTGGGGTTTTAATTAATGAAATGACCAAGGCCAGCAATTACTATTTTATTTAGCATTTTACTTCAATCAAGCACTATTTGTGTTTTCTACTCACTTCTGTATAGACCACAGTAAACATGTGGAAGGCATTTTGCATGGCAAGTTTGTGTATTGCAATTTTTGAGCAATGCAAACATCCCCCTTAAATAAACGAAAACAGATCCCAGAAAGGGTATGCTTCCAACACATTCCCCAAAGATCTGAGTGCCGCTGTGCATTCTTGCTCAATTTAAACAAACTAAACTTCAGTTAGTCTCCCCTCCCCTAATGGGCACCCCCACTGGGAACATTGTTAGGTTACCACCATGGACAAGGCCTCAGTACAGCTGGATATGTAAACAAGACCATAATCCGCATGAAAGAACTCTCAGAGTTTTGGCAGCACTCACAGTGTTGTTAACATATTGTGCCAAAGCAATAACAAAGCCATCATTTTTAAGTTTGTTCACGGATTTGTATTAATCAAGAAATTTTCCAGAAATTACTTCTAAATGAGGAAACTTCCAGAAAGTTACCATTTGGCAAGAAGGCTTCCAGATGCCTTTTTTTGCTTATCTGCAACATATTTTCCCAAATAAATTACAAATTTGTGGACGTTCAGTTGAGACAGAAAACACATTGCTGCTGTGTTGGTGGAAGGAGGCTCCCTTCAGTTCATTCCCTGCTTCATCAAAGCCTGGCTAGTGCTTAGATCATTTTTGCTTGTTAAAGAGGAGGTGGCCAGACCATCTAACTTAGCATTCTGGTGATAAATATTAAGTATTGATATTTGAATCAGAAAAGCAATGATTAGGTTACAGTTAGAACGGCAAACTAAGCACTTAGGAAAAGACCAAGAGAAGGCTGCTGGACCTTTGTTAAAATTTAGTTGTTGGTTTTTATTCGCATATTAGGTGATTGCTCTCTCAATGCCAATGTTTTTCAATGTAAACTCTTATTTTCAAAAATTGTGCAGAAGCCAGGCTTCTGTGAACTACTGTGACTGCTCTGTAGGAAAAAAGAGGCAGAGATAACAGTGCAATTAAAGATGACTAGTAGGACAAACCTAAAAGTTTTATTTTTCAACACTGGATCCTTCTTTAAATATTTACAGTAGTTTTTAAATGTGATTTTTAAAATCCTGGGCAAAACAAACTTTTAAAGTGTGCTTAATATTTAAAATACATGTGCCTTACAGAGGGCACGTGTGCGGCTCCAGTGATGGTTGCTGTATGTGGGCTCACAGACTTTGTGTTGAGATCTGAAGATTCATAAGCGGGTTTTTCACCAGTGGTCTTGGAAATTATAGGTCACTTCAGGAGATCCAGGTCAGTCCACCAAAAGCTAATCCAAGCTCGAATGGCCAAAGTGGCCCACGCAACTGGGCAAGCACGTCTGGCTTAACTTCAAGTCTGCCCAGGAGTCTTCAGGATGTAAGCCAAAAGAAGTCGCTTGCCTCAGGTTTTGATTGTATTTAATCATTTATTCACGCTTATGCTACCCTCTGGATGACACTTTTATTATAAGAAAAGAAACTCTTCAAAATAATAACTAATAGTAAATAAGCTCTTTCTCCAGCTGAAGACCACCCGTAACTCCCAAACTAATCTGAACTAAATACATCTTTGTTTCTTTTCATGGTGCATTGTTTTAAGCCCCAATATAATATGTTTATATTCTGCCTTGTTTTAAAGTTACTTGTTATCTCTTACCTTTCCTTTGACAAATGTACTGTTCCTGGCTGTCTCTCCAAGTATCAAATATGGGGCTTTGCACATAGTGGACTTTGCATGAATGCTTACTTAACTGGTTTGAGAGTATTTGTTGTTTCTAGAAACAAAAATCCTTCTCCAAACACATAGCACTTGGAAGATACTTTAACTCATTGAGACTACCCATGTTCTACTGGGTCAATTTCTGCTTCATTTGAGTTCATGATACCCCAGTACCCTCCTAGAAAACTGTTTTACTTACTTATGGAGGGATCTTCTAGTATGTGATGAGTAATAGGAATTGCAAAGATATGAAACAATAACAGAATCATAGCTTCAATTTCAAAGTTTATAATTGTTATTGAAGAAACAAAAAGGCTAGGTTAAGTCTTCATGAGCTTTTTGATAATTAGCATTCTTTTCACAAAAGACATATACTTGACTTTTTCTGGGTATCTGACTGTGCATTAGCGTGGTTTGTCTCTGACATGTTGATGCTGACTATTTTTTTCTGTGTATGCAGTTGTTTCACTAAGGAATATTTATTTACTCTCTATCTTTGAATTAACTCCTCTTTGAGGGCTCCGTTGCTACATGAAATTGAACTCATACACCTAATTCCACAAGAGAGCCTTCACCTAACAAAAATACCTTGTTTCTGCTATTTTGTGAACCTGTGATGTGGTGGCTTTTTCGGTTTATTTACTTAAACTGATTTCTCTTTTCTTTCCTATTAACAGCCAAATCACTTTACTCATGTGGCTGTATGGGCTTAAATTACCCAGAATCAGTTTTTCCAAATATTTTAAAAATTTGACTGAAGGCGAGGTAAATCAGTAGTCTGGAAGTTACTCTTTCTTTTGTATTAATAGAGATGGCTTCAACACCAAAATCGATGATAAATAAATTAAAATATTATTTCAGGCAAGAGGAGTTATCTTTAAAAAAGGATTTCTTTAATTTACATCCTTGAAATGTATCATATTTAATTTCTACCAGAAGCTACATCAAGGTAGCTTGGTATTCACCAAGGGTGAATTCAAGAAACATACTGGAAAGAAAAATAGCTGGACATACATAGCAAATATGATCTAAATTCTACTAGCTGAGTATTCTCAAAGCTGCGTGGATCAGGGGGCCCTTGTTGAAGATCCAGAGGAAGGATTCCCTGTCAGTGGGGGAGGCTAGTGTGATGGCAGATTGTCATTTAATGCTTGAATCACAAAGCCTTTAGGGTTGCCTCAACCATTTTTAGGTAAGATCTATTATTTACTAGAAAGAGAGATAAGAAAATAAATAAGCATTGCTCACAGTCAACCAATGTTAAAGAAGTTTTTTCCAGTAAACAACAGTTTGCAAAAGGTGTGAAGGTCTCTAGTTGTTTTTCATGTATTCAAAAAGCAAAAATGAGCCCTGAAAAGCTGAAAACTCTGACACAGTGATGTCAATTAGCAGAGGAAATGGCAACTTCCCATCTTAGTTATTTTTACACTCCTGGCATCCAGTATCCCTTCACAATTTCTACTTAAAAAATGCTTTCGGGAGTTTTGCTTTAAAAGTGATAACACAACCAAACAAATATTTGTCTACTTACTCTATGTACAATTTCAGGATAAATAAAGATGGTCACTTTCTATAATATGTTACTGATTATACTGTTTGATGAAAGTTCAAAAGGGATTCAAGATTCTAATACAAACATCAAATTATAGAGGGAAATCAAAGTGGCAGCAGTTGTGGACAGTAAGTAGGAATAGTGGCAGGGACTGTAAACAGAAAGAAAGGGCTGCTCTAGGTGACAAAGTAAAAGTGTTGTGATGAGAAAACACACACACACACAAAATACCACGCACACACTCACAATACCGCACACACTCTGTAGGCTGGGGAGGGAGGAGTCACTGAAGGAATGGAGGTTTAACAGAACTAACAAAATGGCAGGTTATTTTTTGTTTGGGGAAGGAAAGGCATTTAACTAGAAACTTGGAAGAAGGTTAGATTGATTT